TAAAATCAGACTGTATTAAGTTGTTAACCTTTACTTTAAAGTTTGCTGCATATGCTAACATTTGTCCATATAATGATATATGCCAGATGTCCATATGCTAACATCTGAAATGGATGGACATTCCATGGATAAAATTAAAGAAAAATACTGGCCATATTGCTAATTGTGCCCTTCTTAAACATTATTTTTTCAAGTAAATAGATTAAGGTGCAAATGCGCTATGAATTAAACTCTAAAGTGGATGAGTTTTAGACACCACCAAAACTATTAAAAAAATATCAAAATTATAATCGATTCTTAATCCCTTCATCAGAATAAATTTGTAACTTTAAAACTTGATCAATAAACAGTGGCAACCATTAATTTGCTGATACTTTAAAACAGAATCTAAAACTTTTTAATACTATAACAGTATGATATCTGACATAGTATAATGTATATATATACTACTAAAGCAATTATAATTTGTCACACAAAAAATATGATAAAACTATTAACACTGACTGCATTAACTTTTCTCATTTATTACCTGAATATCAGCAAGCACAATGTTTAACATTGACGTTATTTCATAACATAAATATACATCAGCACATGGCAAAATGAACATGCAACTGCACGTAACATTGCAGCTGATCAACATTTAATATTGAAATCACATTGTAATGCATGTCACACTCTAAAATATGCACTCATCATATCCTCATCATGTTTCAATGAACCAATAAAATGTAAAAAGTATGGGAGAGAATATAATTACACTTGTGAACCATTCTGTCACTGTAAATTGACATGCATTCACCAAACTGTTACAATGTAAAGCTACATGATACATCCTTGTTATTGTACTACTGTTAGCCACTCAACATAAAACTTGCTTTTAAAATAGGTTTAACTTTAATTAATATCGTGTGCACGACTTAAAAACAGTTAGATTGATTAATTATTAAACTAAATGATAATTTGTTTGATTAATGATTAATTCTTTTTTGTATTTATAGAAGACTCTGCAATGACTTATTTTATACAATATGAATATTAGATTCTTTTGTACACATGATTAATTGATAATTTATCTAACAGATTAGATTAGCTAAATGCATCAGTCACTAAATATTAATTAATTTATTAATTGTAAACATGACTCAACAATAACCTTTTTTTAAAGGCATTTTTATTTGTTAATGTTAACATCACTAAGCTATCAAGTTAATGAATTGACATGTAAACAAGGTTCCTCCAAAATTTATTTTGATTAACTGGCTACAGCCAGACTTAATAAATAGAATTATTAACTTGTAGATTAAACCACTCAACAATTACTTTATTAACTCTTAGCCTGCTATGAACAATGCAAACCAAGATCATATGGCACTGGTCATGATGTGCACTGTTCATTATTCAGTCTGTACATATTTCCCAAATTTCCCTAAAAATGATGGATGGTTTTATCAAGACTGAAGATAGACACATCCATCTAATATATTCAGCACTGGTTTAAGGGTTGATCGTTAAATAATAAACACAACTTATACATACAAGAATACATTTAACCTAAATCTTTAATCTATTAACTCTGCAATCAATGTAATAATTATTAAGTACTTAGTAATAATTTTATCTTATCATGTAACTGTTTGAAAATATAATAATTAGTTAACTGTTTAAATACAGGTATACATGATTGTATCAACAATTACATGTTATCCAACAATTTACAAAAACTCAACAATACCTTGTTTTAATTGATAAGAATAAATTGAACAATCAGTTCATGGCCCAAAAATAATTTAAATGTGACGTTTCTAAAAAATAATAAATAAAGACAGCATTTAAACAGTAAAAAAAACAAAACAATTAAAACATGACTCTACCAAGTTCACCTATTATTGTAACAATGATATTACATTAGAAACTGTTTATATGTTAAATACATACAAAAACTTCTTTAATTTTTATACAATGTGTTTGCAATAATTAAACTGACAATACAAAATTAAGATTCAAGGAAATTATAATCAATATTTATACCATTATCATTACATCATCAAGCTCTCAATCTTAAACAATTAGGAAATAAAAGTACCGTAAAAATTCCTATTACGCCCCCGGGGGCTTTTTCAAAAGGGGGCTATTATTACAACACGTTTTTTTCCTAAATCCAAACATCATTTAAAATACACTTAGTGTTAACAAGTGTTGGTAATAGCATTAAAATGTGTTGATTTTAAAGTTCATGTGATACATTTTTGTGTTTACTATGAAATAAAATGGATTTTGAAGGATTTGAATAAAATTACGGATTTATTAAAGAGTTCACCACTGATGAGCAGATTTTTTTTCCATATCAAAAAGCCTGGGGGGCTTTTATTAGGGGTGGGGCGTTTAGGAATTTTTACGGTATTCACAATTTACAATCCCTTTATTATGCAAGTAACAATCATACATGTATGTTCAACTACTTAAAAATATACATGTATGTAAGCTGAAAAAAATAAATACTTGTTGATTCCCGCAAGTTAAAGAAATTTCAAATGAATCTAATCTATTCAAATGCTTTTTTTTTAAACATTTTGTATATATGTTATCATACAGTTTCTATAGTACCCTTATTAGTAGTTACTTATTAGGATGATGAACAGAAGAAAGTGGTACAAATTAAGGTGGGATGTGAGGCTATATTGGTATATGAACTATTAATTGGTAGTATGATTATCTATAAATATATATTTTCAATCACCTGTCATTTTTTAGAGTCAGAGATATTAAAAAGTATCAGCTTAGAAGCAAGTGATATCACTCTATTTGCAACTGAGTAAGTTATCAAAAAGAGTGGTTCCTATTGAGTATTCTACACATTCACGAACACACGTGGCCAGTTATAATGTCTTATATCAATGTAAATAAAATTTTCCAGTTCTGACTGGCTCACATGCTAAGTAAAGTGTGACATGTAAACCATAAAGCACAGAAACACACTCAAATGATTTCTGCATCTTAGACTGTTAGTAACAATATGCCATTTTTATAAGAATAATTGTTGTACTTGCAATATGGCTTTATAATATCTCACTTTAGAGTGAGAACTTTCGTGTTTTTAAAAAACGATACACTAACAAATTTAGGGCTAGTATGTCAGTGTTATTGTGAGCATGATCACTGCCAACCAATTATGTTAGAAACAGGCCTATTTACAGGCATGCTAAGTTATTTTTCAAAAATAACACCTGTTTAAATGTTCTGTCTAACTACAAAATCATTTAAATGAATAACATAGATTTAGCAGTCAGATCGGGGATTGAAATTTTTCAGGGCCACTTGTCCTGTAGGACAAGAAACTTCTACATTTATATATTCTACTCGACTCCTGTGTGTTATGCTAATGATCCTGCATCTCAAGCATGATTTTCATGACTGCAACTTATTAATAAAGTTATTTATAAAAGCAAACATTTTGAATGTTGGCACTCATCATTTGAACAACTGTTATGAACAACCGTAATAAGATTTAAAAATTACATAGGTAAAATGGAAAACTAAATTGTTGTAGCTGCTTATTGATCTAAAAAAAAAATGTCAAAAGCACTTCAGCTGATGACAATATGCGAAAATTTGCCTGACAAACAAAAAATTAAAATCAGTTCTCAGTAGTTGGTCAAGTTGATTCCCATGCTAATGTAAAGTGGACACTGATTAGCCGATGATAGTTGATACTCTACATCCCATATATGAATGTTTTCAGCAATGACAACTATTCTTAAATCTTTTATGTTTACTCAAATTTCTGCTGCTTTGCAATGCCTTTATAATCGTCAGAGACTTAATAATTCAACAAAATGTTGACCATTTACTATGAAAATTTGTCTGCCATATTGAATTATCTGAGGAACAGTTCATACACACTGAGTTTATTTTTTCAGTCCTAACCAATCTGTAGTGTAGTATCACTGTCTGCATTTTTCAGTTCTAAGTAAGGCTCCCACGTTTACAATTTTTTGTGAACGTTTACACGATTGCTAAGAACCGAAACGATTCTTTGTACTATCTTACAACATGTATTCAAGTCTCCAAATGATGACTGACTTTCTATTTACAAATAATAATGTTCAGGGCCCATCACTATTGAGTCGACACACATTTTCTGCATTGTATCCTCATTTCACTCTTTTGAAAGATCAAAGGAAAATCAACTTTTCCAAAAATGTATGTCACGAGCAATTATTGCACGGTAATGCTGTGTGAATGGTTATAAATACCTATTTTTCGTATTTTACTTTTGAATAAACCAATTACAATTGATAGAATTCATGATTACAGGTAACGATTAAGATATTTTGTAAGACAATATTGTCATTTCAAATACACAGTAAAAATTATCGTAAATGTTTACGACTGAAAATCGAAACAAATCTGTTTAAACGTGGGGACCTTAGTGCTAAGTTATGTTGTTATTTCTGGGGTTTTTTCAAAGCTATGATAAAAATTAACCTATACATAGATTTTACAATCTCAAAAGGTGTGAGTTTGAATCACTACCTTTATCATGTTATGTTTCCATAGAAATATGTTCGGTATTCTATCATAAATTATGTAAAACATTTAAGTCTGTTCTTTTTTTAAGTTTGTTTGTAGAATGAGAAGCTCCACTTAGAAGTAAAAAATGTTCATGCCAATATATTATTTGTTATTACAACTTTGAAGCCATATAGTTTCATAAAGGTATTCGGTTTTTGACATATGTCCAACTCTTGCCAAAGCCATGCCCCGACATATGTGAAAGTTTAAAATAGAAATTCGACGAATAAGCGGTCCAATTTGTTTAATATCAGTAAAAAGATATTAAACTTAATAAATATAGACATAATACAATGATACCATACATGTAGAAGGCATGTCCATATAAGGTTTTCAAGTCGAGAAATATGCAGTGCTTGCAAAAACGAGACAAGTCGCACGTTTTCTCAAAAATCTTTAAAATTATCAGTGAAAAATACTTATACCTTTCTCCGTAAATATTCCTCTATTATTCGCAATGAGGTATCTGTCAATTTAACTTGAACTACACTTCTATTTGAAGTAGAAATTGAATTTGAAGAGAGACCATATTGAAACCCTTCTTCCAGTGCAGCCATTTTGGGTCTAACTTACTTGCACCAACAGGGGGCAGTTCAAAGCATTATTTTAAATTAAATTTTACTAAGAAAAAAACAGGGAGAATGCTTCCTGAACGATTAAAGGTTTAAAGAAACATTATGTTCTGATGTGAAACGTTGAAAGTGTATTTCTAAAAAAATACCTACAGAGATTTACATTAAATAAATTTAACTTAAACACTGAATTTGTTTGAAACTACCCTTATCACATTTCCGGTTACTGGGAACCAGCCATTGTACCAGCTGTTTTTCGGGGAGACTACTCAAATAACAAGAATAACAAAATTGTACAACGTTACTCCCCTTGTTCACTGCTTCGCAAATGTACACTCAATTACATGTATGGAAGCGAGCTGTATTCAATAAGAATTTTAGTCACTAAATATTTACTGAAATATAGTTAAGTTGGAAAAGGTTAGAAGGAAAAAGTTAGAAACAGTTCCATCTGTAAAATACCTTGGCATTACAATATCAAATGATCTAACATGGAACAAACACATAAACAACATTACAACAAAGGCGAATCAAACACTTGGTTTTCTACGCCGAAACATCAAAGTTCACTCAGAAAGGTTAAAGTCAACCGCATACAAGACACTTGTCAGGCCCCAGCTTGAGTACAGCTCCACGGTCTAGTCCCCCCTACACAGGAACTCTCATTGAACATACGTCTCCCTAAAATACCTTCTCTGTTTTTAACCTGTTTTTAACAACATACTCATATAATTTCCATTACTTTTATATTCTTTTATTTCAGATCTTTTACTAACATTCTTGTCAGTTGACGCACGTCAAGTCTAGGTCCCCAGCAGGGGTGTGACTATATGGAAGATAGATAGATAGGTAGGTAGGTAGGTAGGTAGGGTAACCTAGGTAGGTAAGGGTATAGAGCTAGAGATAGATAGATAGCTAGATAGATAGATAGATAGATAGCTAGATAGATAGATAGATAGATAGATAGATAGATAGATAGATAGATAGATAGATAGATAGATAGATAGATAGATAGATAGATGATAGATAGATAGATAGATAGATAGATAGATAGAGATAGATAGATAGATAGATAGATAGATAGATAGATAGATAGATATGATAGATAGATAGATAGATAGATAGATAGATAGATAGATAGATAGATAGATAGATAGATAGATAGATAGATAGATAGATAGATAGATAGATAGATAGATAGATAGATAGATAGATAGATAGATAGATAGATAGATAGAGATAGATAGATAGATAGATAGATAGATAGATAGATAAGATAGATAGATAGATAGATAGATAGATAGATAGATAGATAGATAGATAGATAGATAGATAGATAGATAGATAGATAGATAGATAGATAGATAGATAGATAGATAGATAGATAGATAGATAGATAGATAGATAGATAGATAGATAGATAGATAGATAGATAGATAGATAGATAGATAGATAGATAGATAGATAGATAGATAGATAGATAGATAGATAGATAAAGATTAGATAGAAGATTTCAGATAGATAGATAAATGATTGTCAGAGCTAGATAGATAGATAGATAGAAATAGATAGATGATCCTTTGTACAATAAAAATGGACGGGAAAGTAGATAGATAGAAGAAAATAGATAGATAGGACTTTAGACATAGATAAATCCGTGGGTACACATAACATGTCCGAGTTAATTGTCGATTACTTCACGGACCTTTATTGACAATCAAATGCAATGCAACGGCTGGGAAATGATCAAGGTCATACTTTACAACTTGCTTGAGCAGGAATTAAAGCACATGTATTCATGATTGCATTTTTCACAATGTTTTAAAAGCATTTATTTTTAACCTCTTTGAAAAAATGACATTAAAAAAGATAATGGAATTGAAAGTGTGTCTCATTCTTCACCTTTGTTATTATGGATCTTGTCGCAGTTATCTCCCCTTCATTATTCTTATTGTATTGTTCAGGGGAAGTAGTCGCTTAGAGTTTCAGAATTTCGCTGTACTGGATGGAAAGTAACTGTTCTGTTTGGTTTGATCTCAAAACTTAATGAACATGTACTTTGTAGAAATTAGTCTCGGGTATCCATCTATATCCGTGTTGGGACCATAACAATATATTGCGGTTAAATTTTTACCACGATCCTCTTTACTGAATCCTCCGTCTCCCACCCAGGCGTACGATCATATTTTATATTATCAAAATCCATTGTCAGGTTTTCATTGTTTTGTCATGTTCGTAAAGTTGGGAACCTAGTTGCCTAAAAGCCTCATGTTGGCAGCCTAAAGAAAACGAAAAATAATACAAATATGAAAACGGTCAGACATGCATTGTAAGCACGTCCTTGTAATATTTATAGTTTTCTTTAGGCTGTTAGGCTGCCAACCTAAGGTTGTTAGACTGCCAACTTCACGAACATGGTTTTGTCACGATTCACTCGGATGGTATATTCAATAGTTTTGTTTGACTTCCCAGCCTGTGCCTTTATTTTGAACAAACAAATCTCGTTAAACTTGCAATATGTTCTGACAATCCTTAGATCGGTCTGGTAAAACTAATAATACATTTTTTTTTTCAAAAATACAGCGCCTCTTATAA